AAAAAAAAGATATTAAATCCCTAAAATGGAATACTTAGGTAGCCATTAAGAAGAATAGGAGAATACACATGCTGATATAAGACGTCCACTATATAAGTGTAAAAAGAAAGGCAAAGAATAGGATGTGTAAGTGCTTGTGTATTTGAGTGAATGTGGCATGGAAAAGATCTGTTAGGAAAACAAACTTTAACAGTGGGGTTAGTTACCTCTGGAGAGTAAAGTTTTACTTTATATTGCTATACTTCAGTATTACTTTAACATTTTACAAACATGAGAAAAACGTTAAAAGCAAACATGATGGAAAAGTCTGAAGTAATTTGGTTTTCACCTTAACCGCTGATTCTGAAGTTTAAAAGAGGAAACAGCTAACCAAGGTAATCAATCAGTGAACAAAGGACAGGGAAAAGAACAGAGCCAACTGATTAAAAAAGTCAAAGTTTTAATGGCCTGTGCTATAGTTCTTAGTAAGAAAATACGTTGGCATTGTTGAGGAAGACTCAGAGAAAACGTTAAGGAGTATCAGTGCAAAGGATGAGTACCCCTATGGAAAAAAGATGAAAAGTGGCAACTGAGGAATTAACCACCAGATTATTTTGTTTCCAAAGGAAAAGTGAAAGAGCTAAACGCAGAGATCAATTATAGAAAGATATCTATTTACATTTTTTTTTTTTTTTTTTGCCGTATGTGGGCCTCTCACTGCTGCGGCCTCTCCCATTGTGGAGCACAGGCTCCGGACGAGCAGGCCCAACGGCCATGGCTCACGGGCCCCGCCGCTCCACGGCACGCGGGATCCTCCCAGACCGGGGCATTTTTTTTAAGATTTTTTTTTGATGCGGACCATTTTTAAAGTCTTTATTGAATTTGTAACAGTATTGCTTCTGTATTATGTTGTAGTTTTTTGGCCACGAAGCATGTGCGATCTTAGCTCCCAGCCCAGGGATCAAATCCGCATCCCCTGCATTGGAAGACAAAGTCTTAACCACTGGACCTCCAGGGAAGTCCCTCTATTTACACTTTTTATCCAAAACATAAAATCCTTGTAGTACAGTTAGCTACATTGTTCAAGTATGTTTCTTCATAGTTCATTCAGAAAGAAAAACAGCAAGTCTCCTTTAGAAAGAAAGTTCCTAAGAGTATGAAGGAAAGTGAACATTTACTATCTACTTTGTCAGCAGCACTGGGTTGAAGAAGTTTACACCGATCAGCTCCCTTAAGTAGCATGACCTGCAAGGAAGCATTTGTGCTAATTTACAGATGTAGAAGTGGAGCCTCAGTTAAATAAGAGAGCTAGCAAATGAATAAATCCAGAATTTGAACCAAGGTGGTCAAAGTCTACGCTTTTTAAAAATAAATCATTACAAATTTTAGCAAGTAAAATGCTAAAGTCAAATTTCTCAGCAGAGATCTCCTCCATTCAAGGCTAATATCTGTGGTGTAAGGGCATGTGTGCTGCCAGTTTTTTCTTATTAGGGAAAACAAACAAATGACTATTGTAGTCACATTATACCACCTATTTTCAAAACATCTTTCCTTTGAGAAGCAGAAAGAGCTGGGTAGAGGAGGCAGTCAGGTGCAACGCAAGTGTTAATAAATAAAAGAAGTTGCATAACAGTAAACATAACTTCTTTCACAAATAGATATAGGTATTTTCCTCTTAACAACTGTACTACATTGTTAATGTTCATTAAAATATGTATGTAAAAATAAAATAAAATAAAATAAAATATGTATGTAGTACTCATAATCAGAGATCATTGTTTATACTATTTATTTTGATAAAGGAATATGACTTTTGAACTCACCTATACCTGGGGATAACCTAACCATTTGGCTTTATATAAGCAAGGCATTATACTTTACCTGGTAGCATCTGTTTTTTCCTTAGGGAAAAGTAGTGATATGGCAAGAGAACTGGTTTCAAACCCACAGTTATAGTAAACATTACTCTGTTTCAGTGGGATTTTAAAAGAGTCAACTTTCAGGGTTAGCATTTAATGGAAGGTTTTTAAATTATTCAGTAAAGTCTCCTGTAGCAAATGGTGATAGCTTGGAACTTTTGGTTACAAGAATCTAGTTAAAGAGGACTGCTGCCTTTACTCCAGACAAATCATGTCCAGTGCCCCTCCCCCCAAATGAATCTATTACTGTAGTCACTTACCTAAATTATGCAGATAGAACTGAAAAACAACTGAATTCCTGTAAGTATTGAAACTAAAACTCTTAAACAGAAAAGCAGTATCCTTGTAAAACAGAGAAATATTGTAAAATACAAATAGTATTAACTACCCACTGTATAAGATTCTTTAAACTACTGTTCCCCTCCATTAAACTGACCAAAACAAACTTGACTTTTAGAAAATGAGTAACGTTGCTTTGTTTCTCTCTGTAAAATTAGGGCTTTGTTTCCAAGTTTTGTATCTAGAGATAAAAATGCAAGCAATGCCAGTTTCTAGGAGACTCAGAATAGCTTTTATTACAGCATAAAAGAATTTCCCATCATTAGTAACTTAGTTGTCATCCATCTGATTAATTCAAACTATAAATTATCTAGATAGTGATAATAAATAAGAGTTTACGTAGCAATTAATGACTTCAAATGCTACACAATAGTTAATTCTAATTGCAAAGAGTTCCGTGGCAGTTATATTGAAACTGATTTTTCAATACAGATCACAGGGAAATGTGGCTGCCACTATAAAATTATATTATAACTGGAAACTCCAGGCTTTATTTCTGGCTTCTCCAACATTCGGACTATTTCTACAGGATAATCACATTCAATTTAACAGACATACTTAAGATCAATGGTGTTATAACCAACTCAAGGAATTCAAATCACTCCCTGCTACATCTTTCCTTTTGTTTTTTACTGTAATAATTGATAGCCTATTATGAAAAATATCACCAGGTTACTTTTCAAGGCATATGTATGCCAGTTACAAGCTTAAGGAATCACACTTAATGCTTTAAAATAAATAAACTGTTAACATGTAAATTTACATTGTATTTTAATTTTTTCTTAAGCAGACTGGAGAAATCCTAAAAGTTAAATGTTATTTTGAGAGAGAGAGCTATCAATCATTTTAAATTGAAGGTTAACCATTCTAAATCAGGCTTTTAGTCTATGCAACTATATTATTTAAGTACATGATTTAATGCATGGTACATCAAACACTGATTAATAAGTCAAATTATAGTGGGGTTCTATATATGCCTTTTACAGTCATGATTCAGATATGTTTTTTAGTTATATTCAAAATATTCTCTAAGGATAAAGAATGAGCAGTTATTATTCCTATTTGGAGAATGTGAAAACAGATGTACAGGATATGAAACTGAACTGTTTATGAAATCATATTGTAGAGTAAGGTCCTACAACTCAAACAATACTTTTCTAACTATGGGCTTAACTTTTTCCACGGTCTCTTTGCTTCTTCATCCCAGTTACTTTAAAGCAATATAAATAAATCTGGCAAACTTTAGATAAAGCTTGAGTTTCTTACAGTAGACCATTTTCCATTACCATCTAATTCAAACAGAGTACAGATGTGCCCTTTAGTGGCAGAACCAAACTTCCAAATCATCACAGTGGTGGTATGAGGTAATTTACATTTTCTTACCCTTTTTGTTGGGCAACCACATGATTCTATTTTCAAACATATTCAGTGTATACAAGTTTCAGCACCTTATTAACAAAACTGAGGTGGCACTGAAACAGTGGTGGTGGAGGGAAACAACCCCAAGACATCCCTAGAGCCTCCCTAATTTAAGCCAATCAAAGATGGCCTATTACAAATGCTGGCCATGATTTATCAGCTCCACTGCATTTACTTCATTCAAATTATTAACTTAGTCAAATTATGAAGTTCAGATAATCTTCCACATAAAAATAATATACAGTAAATACCACCTGCCATGATTCATCATATAAATGACAAAATTTCAAGTTATAATGTTATATCATTTTTCCCCCCTTTAATCAAATCCTCCCAAAATAAAAGTTCTTGCCTAATGTACGTCTGTGCTAGAAAATCACACTTATATTCAAGGACTTCAAGACACTTACCCTAGAGCCTGGAAGGAAGGAATCGAAAGTGCCCAGTGCATTGATAAGAACAGCAGTCTGGAGGCAGACTCCCCAATGTAGTGCACATTCAGGTACTCAGGCATAGGAGATGGCATGGTGAGCTAGTGCGAACAGGGACTGAGGTAAGTCATCTTATGTCGGACAATTCAAAATCATCATTTCTTTGAAAAATTTAAATGTAAACATATCAAATAACTAATATATTAACCCAAAGGCAAATCTTGAAATAATCCAAGTCACTAGATTTTACAGCTAAAAATAGGATTTAGAATAAATGAGAAGACCATAGTTTCTAACAAAGCAAATTCAGATAAAGCAGAATTCCACTTAACAAATACCAACCATGACATCTGGTTGTTTTTTAAAAATCATTTTTTGTCTTGGTCTAACAACATGTCTTTCCTTCCCTCCCTTCATTAACAGTGATATACAACAAATTCAGTTTAAGGAGCAACTTTATGTTAAATGTCGCTTTCATTTAGGCTACGGGGATAACAAATTCAAATGCTTACAGGGTCAGGAGAATAATGAGTGAAGTGGGCTTGCTGATGCCATTTGGAAAGTGCATATTCCCAGATAAAAGGCATGACTGTGACTTGAATTCAACACACTGAAAACTTATGGGAATCTGGGCTCAGTACTACCAGCTCTTTCAATTTTTCAAAGAGCAGCTTCTTTGTAAAATCTTCCCATTTAATCTACAGGTAAAACAAAATGTGTCTGTGGCCATAATGCTCACAGGCTATCTATCAGTCTGTACTGCTGACTGTAGGTAATTATTTTAAATGTGTTGGAAATAAATATCCTACATCAAAATACTTCTAAAAGCATTTTTGAAAATCTTGTTAAAGAGAACTTTTATTGCTATAAATGAAATGTAATTTCATCCATAAGAAACTTTTTTCTATTTTAAAATTATTAAAATGATCAATAATATCAAGCATAGGTGATGATACAGGGAAACACATACTTCTGAGTATTGGTAAAGTGAAGGGCACTTTGGCTGTATCTATCAAAATTTTAAAACTGAGTTTATCCTATGACCTAACCGTGCCACTTCTAAATCTCTATTCCAAAAAGATACTTGCATACATGCACAAAAAAGCACATATAAGGATGTCCATTTCAGCACCACTCTTAACAGAGAAATTAAATGCTGGCAATAACCCAATCTTCTATCTCTAAGAAAAAGAATAATCCATGCTATAAGGTACCTTGTAGGCATTAAAATTAGTAAGATAAACTGAGATAGCATAGGAAAAACATTTCACAGACATCTACGTAGAAAAAACAGCAAAATAATATGTAGATGACCCAATTTATGTTAAGAAGAGAGTATGTGTATATACATATACATTTTATATGTATTATATTATATATATGTGAGGGGAGGAGATACACCACACAGTTAACAGTGGCTACCTCTATGGTGGGATGGGTGGATACGTCCATATGTATTTTTCTGGGGAAGGCATATGTAGCTTTTACCAGATTCTCAAAGGTGTCTACGATGCCAAACAGATCAAAGGTTTTCATCAAAATGATATCAAAGTTCTCTGGAAATGTTATATAAAAATGCAAAAAATATTAACTTCCTTTGTTCAATATAGCCATAAATGGTTTATCTATTTATAAATGGTGTCAAGTAATAAAACAACAGGGCAACTGACAGTTGAAATTCCATGTGTGAAAAGATAATTTTTTAAATGTTTAAGAAATGTTTACTGGAGCAGTAAATTAAAATAACATTACTTAAGACAATTCTTAAAAGAACTGTACCTAAGCAGATATTAAGCATGATAAATATAATTATTAGGATGCAACGGTTTCTGCACATAAGTATATGAAAAACAAATTGGGAACTATCATACATTTTCAGAACTGTCTCAGGTGAGTAGGGGAAAAAAACCCTGAAAAGTCGGGGATTACCAAAGATTACTAGTTTTAAGGGGGGAGGAATAAGATGCAAAAACAAGATTACCCTTTGCTAAGTAGCTTAAAATCACTTTTAAACAAATGAAATACTTATAATATGTAAAAACTGGACATAAGGGCTAAAAGTACAGATGCACCCTGATTTACACAACAGTGGTGATAACGTTGCAAAGTCTCTGTTGCTCTATCATAAAACTGAAACCACTTGCAATATATACTAGAGGAACTCATTATTCAAAAGACTGCCATGTTGTATTATTTTATATAGAGAGGAAATGGCTTGTAATTTATCTATTTTACATACCTGATTTTCTTAAAGCAAGATATACCTCTAGCAATATCAATCAGAAAGCCAATGCTAGCTGAAGAAACAATTCATTCAACAGGTCTTTTAGACTGAAAAGACAAAGATTTCTTCCTCTATACAGAGAAGGTGAATTTCTACTACAAAGGTGTTAAAGTTTCCCCAAAATGCCTGTGGATTTTCAGGTTTATAAATTGAATTAAACAAATTTTTCAAATTATACACATTTATTATATTAAGATGATTTTTAAAGAGTGTTGACATGAACTAAACTTGGCTACCTATTTTAGAAGTCATTACTTGTCTGCAATTACCTTTCTAGCAGTTCTGAAAACAGGCTGAATGATACAGCTTCTAAAAAGTTATCTGGGGACTTCCCTGGTGGTGCAGCGGTTAAGAATCGCCTGCCAATGCATGGGACATGGGTTTGAGCCCTGGTCTGGAAGATCCCACATGCTGCGGAGCAACTAAGCCCGTGCGCCACAACTACTGAGCCTGTGCTCTAGAGCCTGCAAGCCACAACTACTGAGCTCGTGTGCCACAACTACTGAAGCCCATGCACCTACAGCCTGTGCTCTGCAACAAGGGAAGCCACTGCAATGAGAAGCCCGTGCACTGCATCGAAGAGTAGCCCCCACTCGCCACAACTAGAGAAAGCCCCTGCGTAGCAACGAAGACCCAAAGCAGCCAAAAATAAATAAATAAATAAAATAAAAAATCATTTGACTTGAATTAGCAGACCTGGATTCTATAATACTTCCAACTTGTCATTAATTAGCTGTGTGATCCTGGATTACATAGTAATTCACAACCATATTACTGCATCTTTCACTGTGAGCCACTAAGCTAGGTGTTGTAGTCTCAAGAGAGGAATAAAATGGAAACTGAATGAGCTATAGAGAGGGCCAAGAAGGGCAGGCATGTCTGAGAAACGATGGGCAATGGAAAACTACTGAAGAATTTTAGGCAGCACAGAAGAATAACTGGATTGTTTTTTTAACAAATATCACTCTGCTACCAGTGCACAGGACAAGATGAGGAGACTGGAAGCAAAGGTTAATTACTATTAACAGTTTAAGTAAAAAATTTGTAAAGGAATGAAATACGGCAGTAAAAATGAAGAGGAAGCGAGAAATTCAAACAATAGAATGGTTAGGATTCTGTCATGGAATGGAAGGTAGTGAGGTTTGGGGAGAATGACAATGTCTCCCAAACATCAAACATGATGACTAGAAGGACTGTGATTCTAATATAGAGGTAATGAACATCAGAGAAGAACAGTTTTAGAAATACCTACCTGTCTCATATGCTTATTTTTAAATGGTAATTCTATCCACCTTGATTATTTGTATAGAAAATTTTAAAAAATCAAGTGGAATAAAGTATATGAAATCACACCAGAAACTAAAGTTTAATAAAAATGTTAAATATTACTATTGTTCTAGATTCTTCAGAATCAAAATGCAAGTTACATATTAGACTATTTCTTCTTAATGTCTGGAATGCTTTCAAAAAGACAACGAAAGCCTCCAAATCTCTTCTCATTTACAAAACGACAATAAAAATCCAAAGCTTCTCAACAGACCGTGGTGAGGCTCAAATGAAAGAATGTGCATGAAAGCATGTGCAAACTGCACTGTACATAAAAATGCCAGAGAGAAACAAAATGCTAGCTAGTTCAGCAACTGAGAGGACTGAATTTTTGATTATAGATATCAGGGCTTGAAACTCATGACCATAAAATCTCAATGAGAGAACTAATCATGACAGTACCAGGCTGGGAACTCACTGAAAAGTAAAACTCAAGAGGCTGTAAATAAGAATCAGAGAAAGAAGGAGCTGTCCTCTTCGGGAGAGCAAGCAACTTCATAGTGCTGATTCTGAGGATACCCAGAGTATGGTGGGTCAAAGACAGAATGAAAAAAACCAATTCTAGAAGGGAAAAAAAAGTTCTAATTTCCCCAATTCACCTGTCCAAAACAAATTTTTAAAGAATGACACTGATTATTCCCACTGCCTGTTCTTACAGCCCCCATAAAATTTTTTCTTGTAAAGTGCAAGTAAAACATTTCTAAATTTTTCCATGTAAATTATCTTTGGTGAAATGTTCCATAAAGACTGGTTTCACTGATATGTTTTATTGCCTATATCAAACTACAGAATTATTTAAGTCACTGTGAGTTTTCTCTGGGCCATTTCTACAAGTCAAATTTTACAAGAATAAATTTTATCATATGCAGTTCTGGCCAGTGTTAGATTTATTTTGTGTTCATTATTTCTGCCAGTAGCACACATATCTATTTGATAACTGTGCATATTTTCGTAAGAAATCCATGGAAATTTATAATCTATAGTAAAGTTAAGAGCAACTACCCTCAGGTATTCCAGGACTGCTATGCATTGCTAATTGAAATCTCCTAAGTACTTGCAATCACTTGCATATGATTCGCTAACAGTACTCAGAGCTGGCAGAGCAAAGATAAAGAGCG